CCGTTGGGAGCAGATCTTCCCCTCTCCGTTGCCAGACACAAGACCGTGTATGCACCAGGTCATGTCCTAATCGGAAGGCAGAGCATCCCATGCATATGGGCAGCTGAAGACACGAGCTCCTTGCTCCTCTGTCTTTCTTGGTCTGTATCGTAGGGGTGTGGAGGGACCACAGCAGGATGTTTAAGCCAGCCCTCCGTCTCTGGCCAGGACCAATTTGAGCGTCCCTTCCAGGCTGCAGACCTTCGGTGAAAGAGCTCCACGGTTGGCTCCGTGAATACGGTAGCCTCCCACCAGTTTGTTACCCACGGTCAGCCATGGTCGAGAAGCAGGTGGCCCTCCTCCGGAGAAGGTCGGTGTAGCCTCACACGACATCAGACGCCCATGTCATGCACCTCGCTCGCTCCATCTCATCACCCAGGCACGTTACCCTCTCACACTGTCACACGAAGAAGGGGGAGTTCAGTACAGTAGCATATTTTGAGAGAGACCACATTCACGTAGCTTTTATCACAGTTTATTGTTATAATTGTTCTAGTTTATTAGTGGTTATTTTTGTCGAATCTCTTACTGTGGTTAATTTATAAACGAAACTTTACTATAGGTACGTCCGTATAGGGAAAATATAGTATGTGTGGGTTCCATACCGCCTGTGGGTTTGGGCATCCACTGGGGTCCTTGAACGTATCCCCCACAGATAAGGGGAGCGACCATGTTCCCTGGGCACACTCTGTCCTGAGCACTCCTAGGGGCAGCAAGGAGAGAGGCCTTCCCTCCCAGGTTCAAGGCTGAGCCGAGGAGGCCGGCCCACAGGCAGGTGTTCATGGGGCCGGTGCTGGGCTGGAGGCCACGTGGGCAGGGCACAGGCAGGGCAGCCGGCTTTCATCTCTGTGAGGAGAACAGGGTGTGCCCTGGGCCACCAGCAGTTTGGCTGTGACGAGGGAGCCCTTCCGCGGCCAGAGCGGGTTACAGAGGCCCAGGGATGGAAGGTACAGGGTCTGAAAGAAGCGAGAAGGAAGTTGACGTGCATAGGGACCTTGGCCGGCGCCTGTTTTCCTTTCATTGAAATGGGAGAATAATGTCTGTTCTCATGAGTAGGTTGGGATCATAAGCTTAGAGTTCCAACCCAGGAGATCCATAAGCCAGGGGAAGAAGAAGGCCCTTTCATTCCAAGGGAAGAAAACAGGCAGCAGAAGCAGGATTTGGAGAGAAGCACCAGGCCAGGAATGTCTAACTCCCCGCCTTTTCTGAGACACCCTCATTGCACCGACTCCTGGGCACCCCCAGATGAACGAGGCCCTGAGAGCTGATTTGGCAGAGGGGTCCTCTGCCCGCAGCTGAGGTTCAGAACTCCCGGGAGGAAGGTGGCGTGGGTCTCAGTAGGCACAGAGGCCGGGGAGGAAGCTGCTGGTGGGCCCCAGGCCAGAGAGGCCAGGGTTGCACGTTCCCCTGTGCTGTGCCTGCAACCTTCCGTGTCTTCTGCACTAGCCTGAAAGCCCCTTGAGGCCTGGGCTGTGTCCTCCTCCTCACCCACCCCCTGCCTTCTAGGATCCCCAAAATACAACAAGCTCCCCTTAGGCTCTTTTAATGAAATACGACTACTCTGGATCGCCCAAGGCCGCTTTTAGCCTCGAGTCGCCGTCCCTGCAGCGTGCAACAGTCTGAGGCCCCTGGGTTGCAACTAGCCAGGCCGCGGGCACTCAGGAAAGCGGCCTGGCCTCCTGTGAGCTGGAGGGGACTGGGACGAGGGAAGCTTAGTCCTGCCGTTTTGGGAGAACCACGTGCTATGCTCCAACGCCAAATGCACGAGAGCTTTTGTGTCCCACCGAACATTGCTCCTGCTCTTTGGTGGCGTAAGGGGGGCAGGGGGCATCCATAATAATAATAACAACAATGGTGCTCTAAATGTTAGACTTCACAGTTCACGGGCTCCTCCTATCCATTTGCTGCGCCGCCACTCAAAGAAACAGGTCCCAGAGAGGTTAAGCAGCCTGCCCAAGCTCACACGGCTCGTAAGTGGTGCAGTGGGGATTTGAACCAAAGTAGCCCAGGCCCAGAGCCCCCAGTCTTAATGGCTGTGCTGCCTCACCTCTGGAGTTTGCAAAGCCCTTCCAAAGAGGGGATGAGAATTTGGAAGGCTTTCCATCAGAGGCAAGAGAGGAGAAGGGAGTGTCTAGCAACTGCTACAGTGAGCCGAGCCCTCTGCAGCCTTGGTGGGGCACAGCAATGGAGAACGGGTCTCCAGGGGTGGGAAGGAAACACCAGTCTGAAGGCTGCACGCAGAGGGAGGCCGGGGTGGGGGTGCTTCACCCGAGCCCACCTCCCAGACCCCCCTTCCCTCGCTTCTCTCTGCGGCTGAGCTCCCACCAGATGCAGCCTGGTGGCCGCGCCCGCCCGCCTGCATCCCCGGGACCGCAGCTCCTCGGGGACCCGGGCGCCAGGAAGAATACCCACCACGCCAGACTCCCGACTGACTTCTCTCCCCATCTTAAAACCCCAGCTCCCGCAGTCAGGCTGTTTCTCTGCCATGCCAGCTGAGAACGTGTGTGTTTTAAAGCTCTGAATGGGCCATTTCGGCTCGGAGTCCAGATGCATTTTTATACCCGCATGGAAAAAATGCAGAGGCTCCGCTGGCAGTCAGAAAGAGTTTTTTAAATTAAAGTCAAAAAGAAAGGGGAAAAAAAAAAAGTTTCCTGCACCTGGCCCTTCTCAGAAAAGCGCAGCTGAGAACAAAGCGTTTCTGTGCTTTGACCACGTCTCATTTTATTTTATTTTTTTATTATTTTTTAAGATTTTATTTATTTGTGAGAGAGAGAATGAGAGACAGAGAGCATGAGAGGGAGGGAGGAGAGTCAGAGAGAGAAGCAGACTCCCCGCCAAGCAGGGAGCCCGACGCGGGACTCGATCCCGGGACTCCAGGATCGTGACCTGAGCCGAAGGCAGTCGCTTAACCAACTGAGCCACCCACGCGCCCCACATGTCTCATTTTAAAAAGATGCGTGTCCCACCCAGCCTCCCACCAGTGCTTTTCAGGTTCGGTTGTTGGTGGAATATCCGCTGCGGGCGAACCCCTGGGCTTGTTGCGTGTTCATCCCATAATTAGCCCATTTTACAGATGAGGAGACCGAGGCTCCCAGTGGGGTACTGGCCTTACCGAGGGTCACCTCGACCACCGTAACAAAGTACCACAGGCTGGGTGGCTGAAACCAACAGAAATTGACTATGTCACAGTTCTCAAGGCTAGGAGTCCAAGATCAAAGGGGCAGGAGTTGTTGGGTTCCTTTCAAGGGAAGTCTTTTCCCCGCCTCTTCCCCAGCTTCTGGTGACAGCGGCATTCCTCAGCCCGTCTCCACGGGGCACCCACCCTGCATCTGTCTTCACATGGCCACAGTCGTAGTGGATTAGGGGGCCTGCCTTCTCTAGGATGCCCTCACCTTCGCTGGACTACATTTGCAAGGACCTATTTCCAAATCGGGTCAGAACCCGAGGTACCAGGGGCTTGGATTCCAGCATCCGTTCTTGGGGGGAACACGGTCCAGCCCGTAACAGTCATGCTGAAGGTGAGGGCCAGAGGTGGATCGGTTCCGGTGTGGAGCTCTCCTGGGCACGCACTGCCTCCTTGCAGCGTGGAGGAAGCAAGAGGGATGAGCCCCACGGCCCCTCTTCTCATACCACAGGGTGCTGACTGCAGCCCAGAAGCACAGACAAAGACACCACCCTTAGCCACTGTTGCTTCCCGTGCTGACGGGCACCCGGGGCTGGCCTTGTCCACACCCACCATTGACCCGAGGCCTCTCTGCTAAGAGAAGGAAATTGCAGATGTGATAAGTTGGTAGTAACAGCACAACCAGGACGAGAGCTAGCATCTATTGAGCACTTACTGTGTGCCCCCACGCTGTTGTAGGCGCCTTCCATGTTAACTCTTTCTCATCTCCCACGGAACCCTTAGACTGGAGTGCCATTAACATTCCCATTCCATAGACCAGGAAACTGAGGCCAGAGAGATTCATTAACTTGCCCAAGGTCTCGAAGCGAGGAGGTACAGGACCTGCCCTGCCCAGACGCGGTGGCTCCGGAGTCTAGGTGCGTGGCCTCTCTGAACCACGGGAGAGCAGCAAGACGAGCCCCTGGGCAGTACCACTTAGCTTGGGCTCTAGCAACGTTTACAAGGGAGCTCGCCAGGACCGCATGGTTCCATTCGTTGGAATTGTCCAGAACAGGCAAATCCAAAGAGACAGAAAGCAGACTAGTGTTGGCCGGGGGCCAGGGGGAGGGTGTGGAGTGTCCACTCCTGAGTGTGGGGTTTCTTCCGGGAGGATGATGATGAAGTGTTCTGAACTTCACGTGGTGATGGCCGCACAACTCTGAATATCCTGAAAACCAGTGAACTGCGTACTTCAGATGGGTGACTTGCACGGTGTGTGGGTTACATCTCAGTAAAGCAGCCCCAAACACCAGAGAGGGGAGTAGGCAGAACTCGAACGCCAGGAGAAGTGAAGAGCAGGAGGACGGAGCTGCTGAGCCAGGGGAAGGAGCCAGCGCCTGGGAGGGTGAGGGCCTTCCAGAGGCTGAAGGCAGCCTGGCCTGTGGCAGTGGAGAGAGATGGGGGACAGACTCCTCGAGGCTAGCGAAGGACAGAGCCACCAGGCAAAAGCAAGGGGCCTGTGGCCCCTGGTGGCCCAGTGGGAGGCGAACCAGCTCATGGGGTGGCCCTCCCCAGACAGGACACAGCATGGGAAAGGAGCCGGCCGCGGGCCCGGGCACCAGTTATAGGCAGTTATATTGATGGCATGGTCACTTGCAGCTGTCTCCCTGGGAGTGTAACCCGCTAATTGAATAAAGTGCCCAACAGCTCCCACACCCTCACCAGAGAGCAGGTGTCACAAGGGCTAGAACCTGGCCTTTGAGCTGGAGGCGCCAGCAGGCGGGAGGGGGACAGGATGCAGCGTCTGCAGTCGGTCTCCGCTAACTCGCAGTTTCATTTCCTGTCCTTGCTCCCCCAGAAAGCCTTCCACGCGCTGTGTCACAGCACCCACCTGTACGGCCGGAGACTGGTCCTGGAGTGGGCTGACTCGGAGGTGAGCCTGCAGGCCCTGCGGCGGAAGACGGCCGAGCACTTCCACGGTAAGTGCGCCGGGGCTCCCGAGAGGACTGCCCTTGGGCTGCATCGGGCGAGATGCCCTGTCTCCTTCCCTGCGCGTGCTGCGTGTCCTCCCTGTGCCCCCCAGATCTGCTCCCACCCCTCTTTCCCTGCTTCACACCAAGAGGCTGATCTGTGTGGACGGCCCCCGTAGCCTCCATGCCCTTTAGCTTCCGGCTGGGTCGGGTCATTGGGAGGCCTGGCAGGAAATTGGGGAGAGGCGGAGACTGGGGTCAGGAGGTTTATCCCTTCCCCATCCCACCCTCCTGGCCCCCGCCTTCCATCCTGCCAGCTGGCTGGCTGACACCCAAGGCCACAGCTCACATCCGGTTGCCCTCTCTACCCGGCACTTTCTCTCTAGGGCCCCGTGGCCAGCCTAGGGGGTCACTCATACTGAAACCCCTGCCCTCTGCCACCTCTTTGGTGGACCCTCCTCGGTTACTCCGTTTGAGGACCGTCCACTCGCTGCTGGGGGCCTGATGGTCCCAGGACCTGACTCCACCTCTTACACACTTTGGTGGCATCACGTGGCCTCGGTGATTATTCAATCCATCCCCAGAAAATACTCAGCACCTGCTCTCCTCTGGCACAGCGGTGAGGCTGTGACCTAGCTGGGCGGCGGGTTCGAATGGAAGAGGCCGGATACATTACTTGAGTGGGTGGTCTAGAAAGGCCTCCCTGCAGAGGTGACATTTGTGCCCACGAAAGGGCTGTCTGAGCAGTGGGGACCTTGAGCTTGGCACCTGGAGAAGCAGGGAGGCCGGCGTGGCTGAAACAGAGAAAGTGGAGAGAGTGGGGGCTGGCTCACAAGGGGCCTCGTCCTATCCAGCAAGTTGCTGGGGAATCAGCAGGAGGGAATGAGGGAAAGTCCTGAGAACACCAGGCCACAGTGGGCATGTGGAAGGCATGGCAGGTGCACCCCCACACTCGGGATATCAAGGGACCTTTGAACTTGAATCCCATCTCCACACCTCTCCCACGCATCGCAGAAGTGCGTTCACGGCCAGGCAGTAAAGGGCAGCTGCTAGCCTCCCACCCACTTAGGATCCAATTGGCTTTAGTGACGGCTGCCCAGGAAGTGGCCTCACCCGGCCGGGAATGCGTCTCTTCCTCCCACCTGCCTGGGAAAGCCGGGCTTGGTGACGGGGCTCCGTAGTTTCAGCCACGGCATCGGCCACGGCTGCTCTGAGGTCTTAGGTGGCAGGCTGCCTTCCTCCACCCAGGAGTCCCAGGGACAACTGGAGGGTTCACGGCTCTCGGGGGCTTTCCTGGGTGGGCCAGTCACCCCAGGCGCCTGCCATTGCTCCCCACACCCATCCCCACTGGGCAGCGGGGAGCCAACAGTGTCACCTGGGGCAGCCTGGGGGTGTTGGCTACAAAGCCCGTGTGGGGATGGAGCCTGGAGCCAGGACGTGATCATTTACTGTCCCAGTCAGCGACACTCTGTTTCCCCAGTCGGGCAGCGGCTCAGGGGAACCCGCAGAGGAGGCGGCCCGTATGGGGTGGCAGTTCCCCAGTTGGGCCTCGCCGGTCTTGCTCCGGGCTAGCAAGCAGGGCTTCCCAGCAGTGTCTCAGGGATGTAAGACTGCATCCCCCTCAGGTGTGCTATGAACACCACAGAGACAGGGACAAAAGCCTCTGGCTGTAGTTCAGCCTGCCAGACCCTTCAGAATACGCCCTTGCCCTACCCACTCCAGGGGCCTCTTCCAGCCCAGTCCCACCAAGCCTCCCCGAACGCCCTGCGGTGCTCTGTGTCTTCCCATATGTTCTTCCCTCTGCTCAGAATGCTTGGCCCTCGAGTTTTTACTAAGCAGGCAGTGCCTGTGCAGCCATTAAGGCCCAGCTCAAATGACACCTCCCCCAAGAAGCCCTCCCTTTCTCTGCCCGCCTCCTTACGTATCAGTAACAGCTCCATCCTCTGCTCTCCCAGCTCCATTACTATACTTCCGTGCCGTGTCATAATTTATTTCGTTATGGTTTATCCTCACGGGACTAATGCCTTTCCCCACATGGAGACTGTGTCCTCGGGTTCCTCTCTGGGCGCCCCCCGTGCCTGGCACAGCGTCCGGCATAGGCCAGGCCCTGCCCTCCATCTGAGGCTGGGGAAGATCCCAGCAAAGGCGCACGAACAACCAGAGAAATCAGGACTGAGTACACAGTCCCAAGCTTACAACTCAATAAGTCCCCAAATCCTGACGTGCCGAAAGGGAACGAACCTATCCGTATCGACAGCCATTGACAGGCCCAAATGCACCCGTCGGCAAATGTTTGTGTAAGGGACTCGCCTGCTCCTCTGCACCTCCCACCCCCGGGGCTGGCGGCCTGCAGGCTCAGCAGTTCTGCCCTGCGTCGGAGAGAAGCCCCCTTCAATAAATTGAGTTCCAAAGACAGCATTATTGCCTCACCCCAGCGGAAAGACTCGGTCGGGAGCATTTCCGCGGGATCGGCTGTCTCCGAGTATCCGCTGAAGGCCACGGCCCAGACAGGCCAGGTACAGCCACGGCAGGAATAGAGGCAGGAGCTTCCTTCCACACGTCTGCCCCTGCATTCCCCAGCAGCCCTGCGAGATGGGCATGATGAGCCCCGGTGTTTTGTTTTGTTTTTTTTAATTTTAAGATTTTACTGATGTATTTGAAAGAGAGCAGGAGCAGGGGAAGGGGCAGAGGGAGAAGCAGACTCCTCACTGAGCAGGGAGCACCAGGGATCGGGACCCTGGGATCATGACCTGAGCCACCCAGGCGCCCTTGATTGGCCCCATTTTACGGATGGGAAAACTGAGGCCAAGCAAGCATTGGAGTGACACGTGACAGCTACTGTTTATTAAGGACTCACTCTGCGCCAGGGCCCGTCCCCAGTACATGACCTGCCCCATCTCACTTAGCCTCGCGACATCAGTAGCAGCTGTAGGCGCTGCTGTCTCCGTTTTATAGACAAAGAAACTGAGGCACGCCCACGGTCACGCAGCTGGAAAGGGGCAGATGTGAACTCCAGGCCAGCTCTAGAGCCTCCCACCCCACCCCGCCGCCCTGTTCTGCATGGTACTAGCAAATGCCATTTTCCGGAAATTTGGGGCCTTTATTTGATCTGGGGTGTATGAGTATTTCCTGCATGGCTTCCCTCATCCTGACTCATCCAGGGTCCCTTCCAGACTCTCCTGGGTCCCTTCCAGAAATGGAGGGGATGAATAACAGATCATGATGGAAAATGTCAGGCGGCCCTCTGGAATTGACTCAGCATGTCCTCATAGAAGGCCCTGTGGGGTGCGCGTTACCGTGTCCCCGCTTATAGGCGGGAAAGCTCAAGTGCAAGGTGAGAGGAGAGCCCCGAGGTCAGTTTTGAGGGTCAGCCCAGCTCTGTGTTTGGACCCCCTTTGAGTCCCCCTGGAGGAATATTGCCCTCTCAGGTTCTGGAAGGGGTCATGAGCTCTGAGCTAACCGAGTGTGCAGAAGTAAGTGCTACCAGACAGACCCTCCCCGCATCAAGGGAAGATGGGCAGGGTCCCACCAGGGAACAGAATTTACCCCAGGGGTTGGCAGGAAGAGCCTGTAATGCCAAGGTGAGGGCAGGGGCCAGAGGTGAGCAGTAGCAAGTAGCAGTCCTCCCATCCCCAGGGCCTATAGGGACAGACGGGGAGGAAATGATGCCCCTGGGGTCCATCGAGAGCAGGGCCTGCAGACACCTACTCAGTCCCCTAGTATAGAGGGCCACAGCCAGTGCCGGAGAACTCCCCAAAGCAGGGGGGGAGCTGGGGGAAAATGCCTGCAGCTCCCTCCCCTCCCACCTCTGCTCCCCTCTGGGTCTCCCCTTGGCCCATTGCATCTGTAAGCCGGAGGGCCAGGTCCCCTAGGGACACCTGCCAGGGGACAGCAGGGCAGAGGATGGATCGGGGGGCACCGGAGAATATCCAGCCCATGTGGTGCCCACGAACAGCAGGGGTGTGGCTGGGGTGGGGGCCGGCCGGCTTTGCTGAGGGGAGGCCTCCCATCTGGAAGGGTCTCTCAGACGCGCGCCCGCCCGCGTGTCGAACCTCCACACTGGCCTCACCTGTCTGGGTCCGGAAGAGGCGACAGCCTGAAAGTAAAGTCATTCCCGGTCGTGTTTCCCAGCACTATTTCTCAAAGAAACACGTGATAATCCTCGGAAAACAAAAGAAAGCTCTCTCCAGAACACAGCAAGATAAGACACAGGGATTTGTACCCTAGAATCTGTGAAACTTGGTCTTTGTGGATCCTAGTCTAGGGCTGGCCTCAGAGGAGCTGTGAACACCCAGAAATGTCATGGGGGGGGGAGGTGTGCGTGTGTACATGCACATGCACGTGTGTGTGCGCGTGTGTATGTCTCTGGCAAGAGAATCTGTTGTCATCAGATTTCCCATAAGCTCCTGGTCCCCAAGAGGTTGGCTGTAGGAGAAAGAGCGTTGACCTTGTAATCAAGGACACCCGGTTTCTGTTGCTCCCTGGCTGAGTGTCCAGGGAGACGTCAGTGCGCCCTCTGGGCTTCCGTTTCCCGTTTCACCAACCAGGGAGGCTAACCAAGGCACTCACCGCCTTATAGAATTGTCCTGAAGATGATCTGTGAGTAACAAAATCATCAGGAGCTGCCTTTTTGGTTTTTTTCGCCCACAGGGCACTCCCCCCCGCCCCCCCCACCGCAGGGCACTCCCGAGGTAGAGATGTGTGTCTTCCCATTTTACAGATGAAGGAAGGAGGCTATGAAGTCACTTGCCTGGGGTCACGCAGGCCGTGAATGGTGGAAGCCAGGTTTGAGCTTTTACAGTCCGGCTTAAGCACCCTGTACTCAGGGCAATGGCTCCATCCGTCCTTCCCACATTAGCTGGACCCTGGGGGGTGGGGGGCGGGTAGACAAGTCGGCCCAGAACAGGTGCTCTGGAGCCCGCAGTCCCTCCTACCCACCCACCCCATTGTCTGAGCTCTTCGGGGGGAATGGTGGGCGCCTCCGCAGCCCTGAATGTTCAGAATAGGGC